ATGCAAATACTCATGGTGTCCGTAGTGCTGGACGACATTTCACAATCGATCATTCTATGATTTCAAGATGGATAAAAAGACGCGTCTAAATTTCAACACATAATAAATATATAACATTTGTTTTTTAATCTAAACTGGTGCTTATTTATAGTGGTGCTTATTCATAATTTTCTTACGTTTTGGTCTAAACAGGGGGGTGGTGTTTATTCTCAGGTGGTGTCTATTTCCGGGACAATACGGTAACGTCAGTTTTATCAGGATTCGGTTTTGACATCACAAGTCACGTGAGCATTAGTTTTTGTTTGCGAAATTGGGATTTTTTCTCTAGTGAGAATTATAACTTCGCGATAACTAGTTGTCGAGACATCGTTCAAGAAGTAAAAAATGCATTAAAATAGGGAGGTTACCTTACTTGATTGGTGAAATTACATAGTCAGCCCTCTCTAAATGCACGCTCTGATTTAGTTCCAAATATATGAAGCATTAAGTATTTTATCCTCCCGTAAATGCAAGGTCTGACGAGCGAATTACTATCGCAAATTTTATTATTGAAAAAAATGTTGGGATCCTATTCAGAAAAAACAGACCACTATTGGACATAGTTCAGTCTAGTCCACCCAGTTAGGAATTATGTAACCATAATGTAATCCATCCAATAAGGATGAGCAAATTTATCGATCACCAATAAGAGTACACAAATTTTTAATCAGCCCGGCAAAAAAACAGAAACAAATTACCTTAAATGCACGCATTAGATAAACTCTCTTTAAATGCACAGCCTAGTTCAGTCCCAAGCTTATAAGACTCTTATAATATTTACTCTCTAAATGCACATGCTCTTTAAATGCACATTTTTGACAAACACATATTTCCTAATTGGGACATAAAATTAATGACAACTTTTTGATAAGTGGACACTTAAATCCTGTTGGACATGTCCCGCGTACAATACTGGGGGAACATAGATGCATTCGAGGTGAGACTGTATAGTGGGCGTAATATGAAAAAAACAAGTTTAGTTAATGGTCACCAAGGAATTCAAAACAATTGGTATGTTTTTCCATGTCAATATATTTTTAAGCCATAACCCTGTTTGTTTTCTTTATTTGCATTCATTGCCCCATAGATAATTGCCAAGAAATCGACCGCTCGATTCTCAATTCTCAACATAACTGTTTGTCAATAACTTTATATGTATGGAAAATAATCATTTATTAATGCAAAGAAGATCCGACTGTTTATGTTACTCATTTTATATGTGTCATTAAAAATGGATTTTTACTTGCTTGTTAACACATTATATATATAAGAGATGTAATAAAGATGTTTAGTGTTTTTGCAAAACTCGTAGAACAAACCACTCAAAATGGTTGACATCAAAAATTTTTTTAAGGAAGCGTTAAGGTATACGTTAAAGTATTTCAGAAAGTTCTTACAGAGTTTTGGCAAAACTGATACTTAAAATAAACGAAATACTTATTTAGCTATGAAACGTTTAAAATTGTTAAAGTTCGAGAGTAAGCTTTTTTTTTCTTCGCCACACGTTACTTACCTTTATTTTGAAGAAATATTAATAATAATTTTATTTCTATTTCTTTAAAGCATGCGTCTTGGTGCCCTTTATCGTTCTTTTCAACTGGCTATTTTCGTTTACATTATCTATACAATCATACATAATGAAGGATATCTCAAAAAGGTGTATTAATTCGAACAATCACATGATACTGTTTATAAATTTTATCAAGCCTACTAATAATAATTATGTTTATTTAGGAACTTCCAGTACCCGGTGCAGTAAGAATTACATTACAAGCGCCAAAAACTTTTGATACTCCTTATTATTGCAATGGTGCTGTACCATGTGTTTACTGGGGGGCAAATGATAGTACGTAATGCTTTTTTTGTTAATGAACTTTTACTTTTATTGAAATCTTTATTTTGTAAAAATTTAATTATTCTGCTTTTTCTTTTTTTTAAGTTCAATACCCTAATGATGGAGCAGGAGTTGCATTCTTCGCTACAAGAGTGAAAGTCAATAGATTTGACCCGCCAGCCAATTGCAGTTTCCTTACACCATCAACACCAGATGATCCATGTATTTTCAATCCAAATAAAACCATTCCAGTCGTAAATATTTCTTATATTGCCGATATAGAGAATTACACGGTGAGCCTATATTAAAAATATTATATATGAATATTTTTATTTAACTATTATTATTTATGATTAGTTGATGGTTGAACATTCAATTCGAGCAAGCCTTCTTGAACATGGTTTACGTAATGGTATACATGGCTCAATGGATGGAGCACTTGTTAATTTTAACGATGATCCCATTAAAAGCTGGAATAATGATACAAGAGTAAATATTTTTGTAATCATTTTTCAAGAGGGGGAATGTGAGCTTTCTATTCTTTAATCTTAATGATTATATAATAGATACAAATTTTATTTTGCTATGAATTTAGCTTAATGACGATCCTAATGCAGATGGAGATATTATGACAGTTCAGCAACTCTTAACGGCTGCTAGTGCAAATTTGGATGGTATGGAACCCGACTAGGTTTAGAATTATCTCAGTCAAACCGGGATTATCCGGATTAACTTTATAAACCCTTAAGCTCTAATTTAGCTGCAAAGATCATT